CAGATTGCCTGAGACATCAAAATAGGATTCAGCTTAGACGAGTAATTTGCAAGGTGCTATATTTTAGGTAATAGCTCCAAGTTGTCTGATCCAGTGTCTCAGCTGCAGCATTGAGGGGAGATGATTGAAAAACCTGAGCTGCTGGTGAAGAGTTCATTTCTCTCTAAAGCTGCAGATTGCACAGAGCATCCTCAATAGTGTTGATTTTGCTGATCCATCCCCAGCGTTAGCAGTTGGCAACCTGAAGCAGGGAGCAAAATCAAATATATGTATTTATCAACTAGTAAGTGCTTGCAGATCCTGGGACATCTCAGGCAGGAACAGCTGAGGGTACAGAGCCTGAAATTTGGGATAAGTGATGGAACACGTGGAAAAAGGAGCCACAAACCCAAATGAATGGCAGAGATTTCCCTGAGTTCAGCAGGACTGCCTGGCACTGGGATTAGCTCTCCCAGGCAGCAGCACAGGGCTCTGAGTGTTTATTTAGCTCCACTAGAAATGTGAAGTGTGGCCATCCCTGAGCTCAGCCAGGCCAACCTGCAGGGCTCAGTGCTGTGTGCCATTAGTGCCACATTTATTGCTCCTCACAGTCTCTCTTTCTCCAGCTCCACAGAACACATAAGGCTGCATTTACATTTTCTGAATGGACTAATCATGGCTCTCTGCTTTGATAAAGAAAGTGCAGCCTCCCACATAACCACATGGAAACCAACAGGGAAGAGTAAACCAGAAATAAACCCATTCTGGGGGGTTGAGAGAAAAATACCCACCAGGATAATTGGGAGGGATGTACAGAGAAGCAGCAACTGAACACATAGTCACATCTTAAAAAGAAAATAAATTATAATGCTAAAAATATCCAGGTGAAGGACAGCAAGAGAAAACATGATTGAAGTGGAACAATTGGTAGAGGAGTTAATAGTTATTAGCAATCATTTCAGATTGAATATAGGCTGGTTTTGTAACAGCACAAGGGATGATGCATCTGACAGGACTTAAACAATTGCCTCCCCCTTTCCCAAAGAGCCTTTGAGCAGTGCCCTGGCACAAACAGAGCAGTCTCTGCTCCCCAGGAGTTGGCCAAAGCAGAGTTACTGGAAGTTTTTGGTTGTTAAATACAGTGAAGTTTGATCCCAGACAGGTCTTTCAAAACCTTTCCTCCCTGTATTCCAGACCTTAGCACATTTTAACATTGATCCCACTGTATGTTCCCCTGTAGCCTTTAAGGACTAACCCTGAGGGGTGAGGCAAAGTCCCACCAGTCTGGTGCCTTTTATCCACCAAGAGCCACTGCCTGGGCAAGAGTGTAAAAACGGAGCAATATGGATGATATTCTTGAAAATAACCTCCCATCATCCAACTGTTCACTGTGCCAGGGTGGTTTCTATGCATTTATTAACCATCACTGGAATTCTTTCCCTGGGAATTGAAATTCCCCTCTGTCTCCTTGACCCTGGGTCACTTTGGGAACGTTTTGCATCCAGCCATCCTGTGGCCAGAAGCTTTACAGCTGAATGTGGACATACTCCCTGTCCTGCATCTGCTGGCACTGGGATCTCAGCTCTGGGAAAGGCAACACTCAGCTCCAGATTCCCTCAGTGTTCCCAGGGAATTTGTGCCCAGAGGGAGAAACTGCAAACGAGTTATGATGAAAGGATTTAAGGGGCCTGAGCCAAATCCATCTTGCTCACATCTGAAGAGCTACAAAACCTTGTGCATTTGGAGATAAGTATTTTTCAAAGGGTTTTCTTGTTGTTGCTTCAGAGATTTTGTGTGTAATGTTTGTTCTGGAATATTGCTGGTGAGTAAAAGGGTATGTCCAGCACAGGGATGCTAAAGACAAGTGAGCAAATGCTCTGCAGAGACAGAACTCAGGGCTTAGGAGCTCATTCCATGGCTTCTTTCACACGGTGGAAAGAAGTGCCCAAAGTTTTTCCAAGTAATGTGGAATCCTGCTTTCTTCTGGAGGAAACTTGGTTTTTGTTTCCATCCAAATACTGAGAGAACAATCCCATGTATTTCTCATTCCAAGGGTGACAGAGCCTGGGGTGAGTGAGTCCATACCTGGCCAGGGAGGGTTTTACAGTCCCAGGGCGATGTGGTTGTGACACAGGGCAGAGCTTTATCTGTGCCAGGGGATTAAAACTTCCAATCTCTGCTCTCCGTGACCAGGGACAGGACCCAGGGAAGGGCTGGAGCAGTGTCAGGGAGGGTCAGGTTGGATCTCAGGGAAAGGTTCTTCCCCCAGAGGCTGGTTGGGCACTGCCCAGGCTCCCCAGGGCAGTGGGCACAGCCCCAAGGCTGCCAGAGCTCCAGGAGGGTTTGGACAATGCTCTGAGGGGCAGGGGGGGATTGTTGGGGTGTCTGTGCAGGGCCAGGGGTTGGACTGGATGGACCTTGTGGGTCCCTCCCAGCTCAGGATACTCTGTGATTCTCTAAGCTTGATTTTGAATTCCAAAGTTTTAGTGAAACAGAGGATGAGAGGGTGGAGATTTGCTGATTTAACACAAAGGATGGATTTTAGGAGAAGAACACCCAGGGAATCGTGCTTTTTGTGCTAAACCTGAGTCATTGAGGGGGACTAGCTTAGTCACAGGTCCTCACTGGTCTGTGCAGACCCTTCAGCCGGGGGCTGTTGTGTTCCAGCTGCATTTCCCAGCAGGTTTGTAACCTGTGTTCCCCCTGCCCCGTGCCTGGAGCCTTTGCTGACGGTGGCACAGCCTGAGGGAGGGTGGGGGGAACACACTGAACCAGCAATGAAGTGCCATTAGAGGAAAAGCTGAGTATTTCTGCCAGGCAGGTGTCTCACACTCCAGCCAAGCTGGAGGAGGTTGGAGTGCAATCTGTGAGCCCCTGCACACAGGCAGGGCTGCAGAGCCAGGGATGCCCAGCTGTGCCTCCCCTCGGGGAGCAGGGCACGAGAAATCACCTTGGCATGGCAGGCTGGGGGGGATGGAACCCCTCAGTGCAGCAGTGTCAGGGTGGGCACGAGGGAGGGACACTGTGTGACCACTCATCTCACCCAAATCCAGAGGGTGAGAGTGGCACAGAAGCAAAATGCCCCAGGGAGAGGCTGTCTGGGTGTGGGTACAACCCATGGCTCCTGCAGTACACCCCACACTGAGTGTTCACAGGCTCCTGAGGGCTCACCAGCTTCTCTCTGAAGTCTGAAACATGCACTTTTACAGAGTGCCAGGCTGAACCTCCTCCTCACTCACCTGCCACCTCAGTGCCTGTGTGCCCGGGGAAGCCACACACACAGATAAAACCAGGGCAGATGTGACACTGGATTTACACACATGTACCTGCAGGAAACAAATGCTTCTGGGGGGTGTTTCCTGCAAGGTGGCACACTGTGCAAGGCAACTCACTTAACCCATGGCACACACCTGCTCTGGAGCTGTTTCCAGAAACATTAAAGGGGAGGGCAGGCCCCAAACTCACACCTTCGTGAGTTCAAACAGCCCCAGGAGATTGGAAGCCTGCACTTCTTTCCCCAGCATATTTCCCTGTCATGCCATACACCCTCCATGCAAGGAAAAGATAACCACATGGTGCACAAATCAGTGGAAAGTGCTTTTACAAAAACTCTGTTCAGAAGTAAAGAAGAAAGGCTTGAATGTCACAGAATTTCCTCAGCATGGAAAAGAAGTTCAGTGGGGGAAAAAATAACAAGTACAGCGCTCTGGACACTTATTTGATGGAGTCAGAAGTATTGTCAAGAGGTTGGTTTTTTTCTAGATTGCTACAAGCAATTAATGGACTTTTACTTTGACAGAGATAAAACCCCACAGGCACAGGATTGTGAATCCCTGACACCACTGTGTGTTCCGAGAACAGCAGTCCCATGGAGCAGGGAACACGCAGGAAATCCAACCCACGCTACTCAGAGGTGAATTGTAACCCCTTTGACCAGTTATATTGTAATCTTGTGGCTGGTTAGTTATGAAACAACCGAGTTATCTTTCGTTTTTCCTGTGAGCTCCACTGGAAGAACAGGGATTGGAGTTCCTGGGAGCTCTGGGGCTCCACGTTTTGCATGTGGGAAAGTCGGGCTGAGAGAGAGACTTGGGAATGAAGTGAGGATGTGTTATCTGTGCAGAGACAACCCACAGACAACAACCTGGACCAAAAACCCTCCAGCACTGATTAGGGCCCAGTGCCACCCTAGTGCCTGATTCCCTGCCCTAAAGCCCCGCTTTTCACAGCTTTCAAAAAGCTGGGTAAAACTTAGAACTGGAGGGCAACGGAAAAAAATTATTGATATACAAACAGGAAGGGTTCAGGTGTCCCTCGTGCCACAAAGGTGACTGTAAACCCTGCACAAAATCTGCTTGCAACATTCAGAGAATATTTCTGAAAGGGTTCCTTCCAGGGCTTCTTTGGGGAAAGGTGACAGATCTCCCCCCCTTCAGCAGGAAGGGTTGTTCAGGGGTGGCACTGAGAAGGAAATCTGAAGGGACACGAGTTTTCCTTTACCGTGTGTGAAAAATTGAATGTCGTACGAGAAAAAGGAGTGTTTTCCCTCAAACAGTTTGACTGAACAGTCTTCTTCCCCGGGGATATGGAATGTACCTACATTCTATCCTCTCTACACATCCTCCTCCTACAGCCCTGCCTGTCACTCTCCTTCCATTGTGTCTGTGTGAGAGCAGTGTTAAGCATCAAACTTCTAAAAATGAACCCAGCTTCTTAGCAACTCTAAATGCCTCTTTAGCATACAATAACAACTGTTTATGGGCTTGCAGTGAGTGGTTTAGATGAAGAAATGAGGCAGCCTGACTTTTTCAATTTGAAAACTCGCTTTCACCTATTCTGTTGGAGAAGAGAACAGCTTAATGGGTCTTTTGGTACAGTGACAAATATTTTCCTTTTTCTCCTGTCTTTATTTACATCTCTAGGCAGTGGTGATCACAGCAGCTCTGTGAATACACTCTCTGTATTCCCTTATTCACAACATTTGTATTTCTTGAGGAAAAGTATCGTCAGGTATCTCTTACCTTCAAGCCATACGAATCCCCCGAGCAGAGGTGTGAGCACTTTGTGCCAAATAAATCCAAAACGCCACAACTCTCCACCGTGGCTTTTCCCAAGCTCTCCAGGGCCTTCGAGCAGACTTTTTGGCGTTCGGCGTTCACGCAGGAGCAGAGGAGCAAAAAAAAGAGAAAGAATCACCTGCCCGATCCCCGCCAGCCGGGACCGGTGCAGGTGGAACTTGTGTAACCCCAGGCTGAGCTGGCGACTGCTGGAACTTCAGGAGCTCGGGAAGCGGCTCAGCTTCCCGGGAAGAGGCGATCTCGGCAGGGAACCGCTGTCCATCTCGCTCAGCGCATCGCCGGCTGGAACAGCAGCAGCTCCGTCTCCATCTCCCGGAGCCCAGAGAGCCGCCCCTTCCTCCCGCGGCGCGATCCCAACAACCTGTTCCCACTCCAGCTCCCTCGGCTGCCCGCGGGGTGCGAAATTCCCGCAGCGCTTCCCTCTCTGCCTCGCCTGACGCTGGGAGGGAGGGGAGGGAAAGGGAAGGGAGGGGAGGGGGCCAAGTTTCCTCCCCCGGATCCCTCCGGCTCCCGCGGGCGGGGACGGGCGGCTCCAGCGCCGGGAACGCGGGACCCGCTCCAGCACCGGGAGCGGGACAGCGCCGGGTCCCGGGGGGGCTCCGAGGGGCCGCGGGGACAGGAGGGAGCGGCTCCCACCGCCAGGGACTCGCGGGGGCAACGAGCCCTTCCCCGCCCGGCTGCCCTGCCCTGCCCTGCGCACGCACTGCCAGGTGAGCGCCGGGGATGCTGCTCCCGGGATGCTGCTCCCGGGATGCTCTGCCAGGGATGCTGCTCCCGGGATGCTGCTCCCGGGATGCTCCGCCAGGGATGCTGCTCCCGGGATGCTGCTCCCGGGATGCTCCTCCCGGGATGCTCTGCCAGGGATGGCCCCGGAACGCCGGGCACCCTCCGAGCTCCAAGATTCCCGCTGCCTCTGCACAGCTGTAGGGTTTCGCAGGGAAAACACGGAATGACCCACTGCTAAGACAGGAAAGCAGGAATTTCTGAGGAAGCCGAGCGTGGTGGTTGTTCCCAGCGTTAACAGCTCGCACAGCTCCCGTGTAAAGGAACAGGGCAGTGCCAAGGAGGGGCATCACTCACCTGCATCCTTCCCCGGCAGAATCCCAGCACGTCCCGGGGATTTGCTGAGCTCCCGGGCTGAGAGCTCCGCGGGGCTCCGCGTTAAACGCTCTGTAATGGGAAATAGATTCTCTTTGCAATTCAAATACCGAGAGAAACCATTTCCTGAAAGTGTAGCTGCTGTTGCAATATTTTAATATCTTCTTAGAGTTTAATATCCTTGAGACTGCCTCACTCTCAAAGCATTAGCAGCCCATAATTTGAAGTGTTTCCTAAGAAAGCTCTTTTTTTCTTATTCTTCCCCCCCCCCCCCCCCGAAATGGCTTGATATCTTTTCTGAATGTGTTTCTCATCTTACCAAATAGCACTAGACAGAGAGATAACAGGAAGAAACCCATCTCTCTGGTTGGGTTTTAAGGAAATTCAATTTCTGCAGAATTTTCTTCAAAGGAGTGGATCTCAAATGCTGCTTTCAGCCTTTCCTGGCAGTGAAACCCTAAAGCTCCTGACCCCTTTGGGGTGCTGCATACCCAAACTGTTGTGTGTACACACACTGTCCTTTCTGAGTCATCTTTAGTGCTAAAGTCAAACTGAATTCTCCCGAACTTTCCAAGTGTTATTGCAATAATTTCCTTTTTTTTTATCCAATTAATGTTCCACTGTGAGTTTTGCAGTGCCAAGGGAGCCAAATAAATACTAGAGCTGGGTATATGGAGAGCAATTATTTCTCCTGGAAAGCAGGACGGGAATGGTTTTGTACATTTTACTTGCCTCAAAATGATTACATTTATTTAATGGATGGACAACACTCCTTTGAGATGTTTATGCTTTCTTTGAGGCCAAGAAGGACCTGTCCTCTCTTAGACTCCTTGGGCTTCTGGTTGTGTCACAAGATGTTTTCCATCCAGCCATCTATAAGAAAATGAACTATACTCTGAGTCAGGAAAACAGCAATTTAATAACTCAGAACTGGGAAAGGTGTTTAATGGACGAGCTCTGAGTCTCACTGACTCTGCCATCTGCCTCAGCCCTTTGATTTACAGTGTGGATGTGTTTAACTGCTTGTAAAACTCAGAGCTGGGTGTTGCTGCTGCTGCTACATTTTTTTTTTTTTTTTTTTTTTGCAGTCCTGCTAAAGAGAAAAGCTTTTATTTTTTTCCACTGGAAAACTATGAATTAAAGCAATGGCTGGTCTGATGGGAGATGTGTGATAAATCACAGCTGCCTGGGCCAGAAATGCAGCTCGTCTGTTAGTCTGGAATGGGAAGAGCTGCAGAAAACTGCAGGAGATTTTAATGGGTGATGTAGCTGTCCTTGGGAAGTTTAAAGTGAGATTCATTTCCCTTGAATTTTGTATCAAGGATTTCAATAAATGCCCTGGAGTTAGATGAATCATGGGAGAAAATAAAGCACAATAACAAGAAAAACTGACTTCTAAAAAAAAAACCCAGCCCTGAACCTGAAGCCAAAACAAAATGAAACTTCAAACCCACAAGTAGAACCTTCTCAAGAGAAGCAAAACCTTCTCCTTTTGGGGCATTTCTGGTTTGTGGAGAACAGCTCCTGGGGCAAATCTCCTGAGTGTTCTGCAGCATTTCCTCACCATGTGTTCACTTTTTCTGCTTCTTTAACAGGAGCCTCAGTCCTCTGAGCAGCACGGGGAGATAAGAGGCCTCCTGCACTGCACCATGTCACTGCAAAAGGGAGTTGGCAGTGGAACATCAGTCACTGAGATCCTCAGCACGAGGCAGTTCATTATTTCACTGCTCCATCACACGCTGCTGGTGGGGAAGCCTTTGGAGAGACAGAGGGGCTTGGCTGACAGCTGGATTTCTCTGATGCAAGGAGGAGTTGGCCACAAATGCAGAAGGGCAAATGTTTCTGACTGCCCCACCCAAACTCCTTAACACTAATTAATTGACACAAGTGCATCACACAGGATGCTCAGGTCTCACACAGAGTGGGCCACATGAAAACTCCCCGTTTCAGTGCAGTGCTCCTTGGCTCATGGGGGTTGCTCAGCACCTTGTCTGGAGCAGTGGTTCTGCAGGCTCCTAAAACTGCCCTTCTGTGCAGGTCAGTGCTGTGCAGGGAGCAGGACAGGCTGAGAAGTGCCCAGGCTATGGAACCCCAGCAGCTCCTTCCTCTACAGCCCCTGCAGCCAGCTCTGGGTTTAGCAACTGGAACCCCAGTCAAGGGCCAAAGCCCAAGTCCCCCTTCCCCTGGTTTGCCTCAGTTTGCCTCCCTTTCTGTGCACCTCCAGCAGCCAGGAAGGTGGAGGTGGATCCACGTGGATCCTGGCTGGAATTAGGCAGTTCTCCTCTCCCCTCATGTGCTCCCTCCCAGAGCTGCTGCAGAGCCACCAGGCTGCAGGTTGTGCCACCTCTGCTATAAACACATAAACCAGCACATTAGCATCTTCTGCTCTCTCTCAGGGTAGACCTCTATGTGACTCCTGAATAAAAGACCTGCAGCTCAGGAAGGCAGATTAGTCATAATGAGCCTTGTGAACTCGAATGCTCTGCAGCTCCTTCATCTTTTCTGCCAAAACAAGCAACATTACCAGAGTCTTGTGCACACTTGTAGTGCAGGGGGAGACTTTGCTCTCCTCAGCAGAGCAGGCAAGGAGAATTATTGGTCAGAATTGGCTTCTGGGAAATGATTATCTCTGTGCCTTGCACTGGGGCAGGAAAGCTCATTAGTCCTGCCAGAGAAAGCACCCACTGCTTGGGACAGACTGGCCTTTAACTGCATGATGTAAAATCTAACCTTGGCAAAGTCTGGCTGCAGAGAATGTCTGAACCAGTCCCACAGAGCCACAGCCCATCAGGAAGTGTCCTGTCAAATATCCTGTGCCTTTGGCAGGCAGGCAGCAGGTGGGAAAGTGAGGGGCTGCATCAGGAGTACCCGAGGATCTGAGGGCATGGCTTGTTCTTTCAGTGCTACAAATTCCAAAGAATTCTGTTCCTACAGGGATAAACTGCCACTTTTGGGTCCCTGAGAGCTGACACAAAGGGGTACCCAGAGGGTCCTCCCTTGCTGTCTGTGGGCTGTAGCCCTGTGGAGTACATCACTCATCCCATCCCGCTGATCCCAAAGGGATTTTGGTGTTCCAGAGAGATTTTGGTGCTGCATTCCCAGTGTTTGGGCTCAGATCCACCCTGGCCACGCAACACTGGGAATGACTGAATCGGCTCATTTCAGGTTTAAGGAATCAATAGTCTTGGGCTGCAATTTCTTCAGAAGCCCAGATGGATATTGATATCTCTGGGAAGGAAATGAATCCTCAGCTTCTTGTACCTTTCCAGAGGTGGGCCAGGAAAATGCTGGTTTCTCCCGTGAATCAATAATGTCAATAGCAGAGTCAATAGTGGGCCTGACATATTTTTTCCAAAAGCAAAGCACCAGAAAGTTCTAATATTAGAGAAGATTGAAAAAAGGTTCCTGACCTGCCTCTGCCACTGATCTGCTGTGGGGCACTGGGCATGTTTTTACATTTTCCCTGTCTTAGCCTAAAGTTAGGACAAAGTTTTGGATTAACATGGACTTGGGAGTTTATATATTAATCAGCATCTGATTTCTTCCTGTTTCTTACTGTTGCTTTTATCCTCTAAAGTGGTCTGTGCCATTCCCACAGGATCCCTGACTGAGGAAATGCTGTCAGTGCATATTCAAATAAACCAAAATTTGCTGTAGATATGTTTATAAAAACACTGGCTGAGCTCTCTGGAGAACAAATCCGGGCTTGAAGCAGAGAGTCAATAACGATTTGTCAGCGAACAAAGGGCTGGAATATTCACTCTGGAGCTCTTGGGGCTGCAGAGTAACACTTAATTCTCAGGGTGGCTTCCTGAAAACTCAAAAACTCAGTTAATTTCCTTCTTGTGGGCAACTATAAAAGAAGTGCTGCTGAAAGGGGCCAGGATTCCATGGCAGGGCCATTGTTCCTCACCAGCAGCTGCTGCCTTTTGTGCTGGATCCTCATCTCCCTGAATGCAATATTCTGCAGAATAGATAAGGACGAGGGTGGGATGATTTAAAAGCACCTGGTGCAGTTTATGAATTCTGATCAACCTGAAGAAAACCCAGTTCCCAGCTATCCCAGTGTGGATGGGGTTGGTCGGGTGTTGTCAGAGCTGTGTCACTCACACGTGACTCACAGCAGGGAAGCAGAGAAATGTTAAACTGTGATGGCCCCCACATAGCTGAACATCCCAAATTCTGAGTGCTAACTAGGTTGTTTTAAAAGATGGAAGGAGATGAGTCTCCCTGTTCTCCCCATCTCCTCGTCTGGTGCTTTTTCTCTGCTAACAAAGGCCCTTGGGAACCTTGAGTGTTGGCAATCAGCTTGGAAAAATTCACCTGGATTGCAAGAGCCTCTTTTCTGCCTTTTCTGAGATTTATTTTTTTTTTTTCACCTCCTTGTTATTTTTCCAAAGCTTGGCAACCAGTGAAGACGTGTAATTAGAGTTAATTGTGATTGCTCGTGATGCAACAGCCCCCCACTGACTCCATGGTGCCTGTGGCTCACACGGAGTGGGAATGTTTCAGAGGGACAGGGCTCCAGAACAGAGTCCCCCCAGTTTTTGTGTGGCTGCTGGGGACAGATCTGTGGTGGAGCCTCTGGTACCAATCAAAGCTTCAGCTGCAATTTTTCTTCCCCGAGGCAGAGGGGGAGA